CTAGCCACACCTGTTCCTCCCCTCCCACCCCCATTCCCAACTCACATGCTCTCCCACCTGGACCACCATACCAGGACTTGAACCCTCTGCCTCAAGGCCTGTCTTGTCCCCTTCCCCTACACTGGTTGCAGATTTCATGGCACTGATTGTATCCCTCTCTTCCATGTGTCCCACAGATGAGAGCCCAGCCCCTCACGAGGTTTCTAAACGCCTCACTGCACTGCCTCAGACGCTTTTCCAGGACTGTCTTCCATTTCCCAGCGAGGACAGGAGCCTTGCCCACAGACCAGGCTGCTACACCTATGTGTCTCGGTTTATGCTCTTTCCCTGCTGAAACACCTTTCCCCTCGCCATCCTTCAAGGCCCAGTGAAAATGCTGCCTCCTCCTAGAAGTCTCCCAGCCTTACCCCAAACTGGAAATCAAGTATTTCTTTTCTGAAACACTGTGGTCTTCTTCCATCTCACCCACCCATTCAACCAGCAGGTCTTGACCCATCTGTCAGCCAGCTCTGCCTTGGGCACAGGTGGGCGGGGGTGAGCAGATGTGGCTGGGGCAGGACTGTCTCTGGAGGCTTTGCAGAAGAAAGACCCAGATCTCACAAAAGCTCTCCAGGCAGAGAATGTGCATATGCAAACCAGGCTGTGCACATCGCTCATGTCACATTTGCCAAGTGACCAGGGCAGGGAACTGCTGAGGCCAGAAGGGTTAAAAATGGGGCTTGAACAGTGAGATGAGACACTTGGCCATCATCTGGCTGACCACGGGAGCCAGTGGCCATTAGCAGGCGGCTTGTGCAGGTGGCAAGAGTGGAGAATTGACTTTTTGTATCTCTGCCTCCCCTGGATACCAGGCTGTGCAAAATAAGGCTTCAGTCTCTGCGCTGCAGATCCAGCCTGCGTGGAGCTGAATTGGCCTATGTCGGTGGGGGGTGGATGGATGGCTCGATGGGTGGATGGACACGTGGGGGCAGGCAAGGACACAGTGTTTATTTCACACCACTGCATGCCGGCCTTCGCCCAGCTCACATGAGTTGGCTTGAATGTTGTTTTGTTTCTATTTGTTTTGTGAACAGATGAGGGAACAGGGGCTCAGAGGGGCAAGATGGCTTGTCTGTCCCAAGAGCTCAGATTTTAGCCAAGACCTTCTGACCCCGAGTCCACCCCATGCCCTTGGTGTAGGGTGCTGGTCAGGAGACCTGCAGCTGGGTGACCAGATGGATGCATTCTCAGGTGTGGGCTCCACAGCCAGCAAGTTCCATCCTCCTGCCCAGGATGGAGGCAGCTCATCTTGCAACCACTCCCAGGTATGCCCCAAGGCCTCTCTGCACTCGCTGCCCCCGCCACCGGCAGGAAGGACACACGAGGAGCAGCCCCGGGAGAAGGTGCAATGAGCAGTCCCTGCCCCTCAGAAAAGTCAACCTCACAGCACCCCCAACCCCTGCAGAAACCCCTGACCTACCTACAACCCGAGCCAGATGGGCCTGCCCCATGCCAGCCGGCCAGCCACAGCCTGAGCCAAGGGGGAGGAGGGACGGCTTCCGGACGGGAGTCCAGGCAGCCAGACCCATGTCCGCAGGCTGCTGGCAGGGCACAGAGAGGGGAGGCAGAGCTCCACCAACTGCGGCTTCAGCCCCCCAGCAATGGCGCTCTCTGCTCAGGATCGGTCTGGGGAGCCAGAGCTGGAGCTGGTCAGAGGCAGGACCCCTAGTTCCAGGGACCCCTTTCCTTTGTTGCTTCTCCACACGCACGCGTGCATGCACGTGTGCGTGCAGGAACATACACTCACCACACACACATGCTGTCACACACTTGTACACACACATTTACATGCACCATACACATTCATGTGTGATTACACACACATGCATAATCAGGTACATGCACCACACACATCCTCACTGTGCACACACATTTACACATACGCACACTCATGCAATTACACACACATGCACACAGAGATACATACACTCACACCACACATGCACGCAGACATTTACACACAGCATGCACACATGAGATTACACACATATGCACTCAAGTACATACACCACACACACACACATCCTCATACTTGTGCACATACATCTATATGCCATGCACACTCATGTGATTGCACACACATGCACAACTACATACACCACACATGAACACACAATTTGTGCACACACATGCACACTTGCGCAGTTACACATGCATAAAGGTACACATCACACATGCCCTCGCTTGTGCACACACATTTACACACACCATGCACACTCGTGCAGTTACACACATGCACAAAGGTACACATCACACATGCCCTCACACACTTATGCACGCACATTTACACACACCATGCACACTCAAGTGTGGTTACATACATGCACAAAGGTACACATCACACATGCCCTCACACACTTGTGCACACACATTTACACATACCATGCACACTCACGTGCGATTACACACATGCACACACTCAGGTACATACACTCACACACCACAGATGCACACATACTGTGCACACACATTTACACAAACCATGCACACTCAAGTATGATTGCACACATATACATGCACCTGTGCAAATACACTGTCTACACACACTCATACACATGCACACATTTGCACAAAATATATGTACACACTCATACACACCATGCATTCACATGCACACACACACAGTTACACTCAGTACATGCCCATTTATGCAATTTCACCCTCGCGAGTACATGCACACTGGCACATGCCCACACACAGGCCCCTGTGGTAGAGCCCAGGGATGGGTCCTCAGGCCCGAGGGGAGGAAGGCACGTGCCAGTGGGCAACACTGGATCTGGCAATGATGATGACTCAGGAGCAGGACGGGAAAGCCGGGGCCAGTTGTGATGCCAGGTGGGGTGGGGCTGAGCTCAAGGATGGAGCAGAAGTGAAGCTGGCCAGGCATCCTTCCTCCCAGCCAGCCTCTGCCCAACCTCTTCCCTCCCCACATCCCCCGTCTTCCCCCCACCCTGCAGGGCAGCTGCATCAGTGGAGTACATCTGGCCTTGGCCACTGGGCTGGGGAAATGTGATGATCGGGCTAAACGTGAGCCAAGCCCTTCCTTCCGGTGCGTCAGGGTGGGGAGGAGGGCACCGGCCTGCCCTCACCTTCACACTCCCTCCCCCAGGAAGGGCTCCAGCACTGGACACACTTACACGGGGCTGCCCCCTCAGTGTGAGCCCATCTCGGCTCCCCTCCCACCACCTCGGTCCCTTTCGCTCCACCTGCCCTCGGTGCGACAGGGTCACGTCTGCCCAGCACCTGCTCTGCTCCCAGCCAGCTATTCTCGCAGCACAGAGGGGGCTTCTGGAAGCCATGCCCTCTCAGGGTGGGGCCTGGGGAGGCGCGGGATATGTTGACACCTCCTTCCCTGGGCCACCCTGGCCACCCAGCACTGGCTTCCAAGGAGGGCTGGGCTGAGCTGCCTAAGTACCCACCCTTGGGCTCCCGGGTGAGGAGCCAGATAAGAAGGTGGCCTCTCTTCCTTTCTGCAAGGGGAGGACTCCAAGCCCTCTTCAGCCCCATGCTGGCCCCATCCCTGTACACCAAGGGGTGGCTGCTGTCCAGGTCTGTCCCATGTCCCCTGAGCCTGAATCCCTACCCACCCCTCCTACAGGTTCCGCTGAGCTGACTGAGCAGAAAGCTAGGCCCTAATGGCTCAGGAAAGGGAAGGGCAGACCCCTGCCTTCCAGACCTAGCCAGCGCTCCCACCTCTCTGGGCCACACCATCAGGACCCGTCACTGTCCTTTGACCCCTCAGCCCCTCAACTGCTCCTGCCCTACCCGTGGGTTCCTCTGAGAGGGAGAGGGGTCGAGCACCCGCAGCCAGGGACTGTCCTGTCACCCCACCTCTCCAGCCCGCCCTTGACCCTGCCGCTGCCGCCCAGGCTCACTTTGAGAGAGTAGGCCAAGGCGATGAAGCCCAGGCAGCAGAAGTTGAGGTAGACGAAGTTGAAGATGGACCACAGGTAATAGTCGTTCACCTCGGTGGTGTCCGGGTAGACCTCGATGACGGTCGTGGGGTTGGTCATCGTCTTCTTCTCGGCAAGGTGCTTGCAGGCCGGGGGAGCGCCGGCGGCCCGAACGCTGTCGGTCTTGCTGCTCTTGGACTCCATGGGGAACAGTGTGGGCGCCATCGGGGGAGAGGCAGAGGGCTCAGGGGCAGGGGCCGCTGGAGCCTGCAGGGCGGGAGGCTTGGACACGCAAGCGAAGCAGCCCTTGGGCGAACCTGCGGGGGGCCTCGGAATCCAGAAGGCCCCGTCCAGGGGGACTCGGGCTTCCTGGGCGCCGTCCGTGGTGCTGGCCGGGGCTCCCAGCGGGGCTGGGCACTGGCCGGGGCCCTGGGCCTGGAGGGAAGGAGAGAGTGAGAACAAGCTGGGCCTGGCCCACCGGCCAGCACCTACCCTCACGCCCGGCAGCCCCGAGAACAGCCCCAGTAGAGACGGAAATCCCTGCGGGGGCCACCAGCTGCCAGCCTGCCACCTGCCTCCCCCACCCACCCCGGGCAGCGGCGGCCACTGACGATGCCAAAGCCCTTCGCAGCAGCCTTGGCAGGGACCTGGGGCTTTCATCCCTTTGCCATCTGCGCACAAACACTCACCCACTGACACGCACACCAGCACCCCCCCTCAGAAGCACACCGATGCTGGGACTGACACTTGCAAAACAGCGCACGCCCTGGTACCCCAAACAGCTCCGCACGGGCGGGCGCCGGACCCACAGCGCCGCTGCTTCGGCCGCCAACCGGCAGAGCGAGGCCAAGGCACCCGCACACGGCGCCCGCGGACACTCGATCCCGCCACCCGCTCTACCGCGGGCTCTCCAGACCCCGGGGACACCCGCGGGCGCTCAGAGCCGCCGCTGCCGAGTAAACAATTCCCCAAGCAGGGCGACGCAGGCTTAGCCACGAGCGCCGAGAGCCGGCACAGGTGCGGGGTCTCCCACTCGCGCGCACTGTCCCCCACCTCCAACCCGCGGACCCCGAGCGCACACACTCGCCCGGAGCCACGCGCCACCGGGCCACAAACAGACACCCACCCCGTTCTCCAACGAGGCACCCAGTCGCCCGCGCCCTGCGCCACCCGCTTGCCCAGCGCCCGTGCGGCGCGCGCCGGGGGTACTGCGGCCAAGGCTCTGCGGCCCCCAGCCCGACCCAGGTCTGCCCCAGCCGCCCGGACGGCGCCTCCTCACCTACAGGCGACTCCTCGGCGGGCGGGCGGCCGGACCTCTGCACCTCGGTGCGCGTCCTTCCGCCGTCCTGCGGGCTGCTGTCTGTCCACGGATCCGGGTCCCAGCGGCCCAACCTTGAGGGGGTGGGGAGCGCGCGGGGCTAGGCGGCGGCGCCACTGCCTCCCCCGCCGCCTGCGCTCCCTCCGCAGCGCCAGGCCAGCCGCGCGGCTGCAGCCCAGAGCCTGACTCACGGCGGCAGCAGCGGCGGAGGGCGCAGCCACCTCCCCGCCTCCCGTCTCCTCCCGCTGGGAGGGTGGGGACCGCGGGCCCGGAAGCCGCGACCCTGGGGAGTTGCAAGGTGCCTCAGGGATGGGACCCCCACAGCGCCTGACCAGGGTGCCCACGCCACCTGCATCTCCCCGGACCCAGTGAGCCTTCCTCCCCTCCCCACACCCTATTCCCTTCGTGGATCCCCCAGCCCCTTGGAAGATGGACCGCTCCCCGAACCCTCCCCATCTGCCTCCCCAAGAGAGACCCCTTCCTCTCCCCGTCTCCCGATTGCGCTCCACCCCAGCGCCTGGGCCCTGCTGCCTCCCAGGCCCCTTTGGCTCTCAGTGCCGGCAGCTCAGTCCCCTCCTTAAGAAACCCTGAGCCCCAGCAGGTCCCCTACCTGAGTGCCCATCTCTGCCCAGTCCTGTCCCCAAGGCCCCCAAGGCCACCCTCCAGTCCCTTCCCTCCTTAGTCTACCGAGTCCAGGCCCTCTGTGAAGTTTTAGGGTCTCCTACTCTGTTTCTTCCTTGCTGAGCCCACTGCTGCCCACTGGAGCTCCTGTCCCCTTTCCTGGAGTCTGACTTCACCCAGCCCAGGGCCCCACTCCAGGTCACTCCCAGATTTTGGGGAGCATGTGATCTCTCCTGTACAGACCCCAGCATGCTCCCTCTGCCTGCAGGGCAAAGCGTCCCGTTTCGAACTCTGGTCCCCCGTGCTGCTGAGGTCCTTGTCTCCCTGGAGATTTGTGCACTCACCTGCCCACAGCCTCTCTGCGATCCTGACCAGACCTTCTGGGCCTGGTCCCCTAAGGATGCTTTGCCCCCTGCATATCATGTCTCCTAACCAATGCCTGCGCTCCCAGCCTCAGCGCCTCAGCTTCCCCACCATGCCCTCACTCAGTACACTTGACCCCAGCTGATATTCCATCCCGGTAACAGTCCCCATGAGTCCCTCCACATGGAGAAAACCCCAGCCTTCCCTTTCTCCCTCCTAGCTCCCCACTTCACCACGCAGGTGCCCTGAGCTGGGTCCTCTTCACCAACCTCCGGCTTCCACTGAGCCCTGACCCTCTCCAAAGTCCCCCGGAAGCTGAGGATGCACGGTGACCCCCATTCCCTCCCTCATCTCTCCCCAAGCTCCTTCCTCCTATGAAACTCCCTTCTCCTCTGCCACTCTCAATTGGCCTCCTGTGTCCGAGACCCGCTTTCCTAATTGGAAGCCTGGTCCTGCTCCTGTCTGCCCACCTGTGCCTGAACCCCAGGTCATCACTGAACCCTTTCTCTCCCCAAACCTCTGTGCTCTGAACCCTGATCCCCTGGAAGATCCTGGCCTTCTGCAAGCCCCTCCCTTTTCCAGCCTAGTCCCCACCCCTCATGCCTGGGCGGACCCCTGGCACAGCATTATCCATGGCATGCCAGGAACCCACAGCACAAGGCTGATCTTAAATGACGATAAACCCTATCGAGCAGGAGGGGCCCCCAGGCATGAGCGAGCCTCCTCCCTGTCTCCTTGGGCACCCCAGCCATGCCTTCCTGGGATCCCACAGGCCATGGGTAGATGGGGCCTGCCAGGGAAGCAGGGTTCTGTTCTCCCTCCCCAGCTCCCCTGCCTCCTGCCCAAGGACCTGGCCCAGGGAAACCTGGACCTGGCGTGCTCAAGCGGGGCTTCCCCTGGGAGCATCCCAAGGTGTGTGTGGCCTGCATTCCATGCCGTGGTGTCCCTAGCATCTGTGCTGGGCCTACCTGGCCAGCCACCATCTTCTGGGAAATCCTGGCCTACAACAGAGCCTCGGCCCAGTGCTGCCCCAGTCTCCCCTGGAGGCCTCAGGCAGTGAGAAGTCCTCAAGAGCAGAAGAGAGGGTTGCTGGGCCTGAGGAACCAGGGCCTGCCCCGGGTCACTGGGTAGGTGAGAGGGGAGCCAGGGCCCACTCCTAGCCTCAGGCCACCTTGGAGCTCCGAGGCCAGGAAACACTGCTGAGAGGGAGCTGGGGGTGCAGGGCAGAGCCACGGCCCAGCCAGCATTCACGTCACTGTGCTGGGCTCTCCAAGGGCCTGGGATCCAGCATTGCCTCTGCTAGAGGTGTCTAGTCCAACTCACAGTCTAGACGGGGAACTCTAGGCTCAGGGTCCAGTCACCCAGCTAGAAAACCACAGAGGAGCCTGGACTTGAGCCTGGAGTCAGACCCCAGGGCCCTGAGAACCCTGCCTGGCTAGAGGGAACCCTTGGAGCAGCCCCAGGGCAGCAGCCATGGAGGTGGGAGCTAGAAGAGCAGATAGGCTGTAGGAGAAGGGCGATGGGGGGGAGCAGGACGGGGCAGGGGCAGCAGGGCACAGCCGCCTCCTTGCACTCTCTGCCCTCCTGGGCCTCTCAGTACAGAGCATCTGATGACAGGACATTTGTCTCCCAGAAGCCCTGCCAGGCCCTGCAGAACTCTGCCTGGCTCTGCTCAAGTTTCAGACATGCAGAACGCTGGGCATGTGCTTCCAAGCCTCTGTGCCACCCCAGGTAAACGTTCTTGCTCCAGGGGTCCACCCCCAAATGGCTCTAGGGTACAAGCCCTGAAGCCCCTGGAGAGGAAGGCCAGGGCAGCCGCCTCCCTCAGGCTGAAGCATCAGGATAGAAAATGTCACATTTGCCTCACCTTCTAACCTGTTGGGGTGGGGCTTGAGGGTCCAGGTGACTCCAGAGCTACTGATCCTAAAGAACTCTGCTCTCTACCACCACGTCCCCACAAACTCCTACTTATCCCTTAAAACCCCATGGGCTGCTGCCACCGCATCCAGAGACATGCTCCCAACCCCTCCCCTCCCAGTGGAACAAGTGCACCACGTTAATCAGCCTGGGCGTCTGTGGCTGGAGGGGACTTGTTGAGTCCAATCCCTGAAACCAGTGACCCTGGGCAGGCTTGCTCCGCACCAGCTCGGCTCACCACACACAGGCTGCTACTAGGGCCTGACAGGCAAGAGGGCCTAGCTAGGCCAGATGGCCACACCACCGAGGGCCCAAAGGGTACGGAGAGTGACCGGGAGGGCCTGCTCTGATGCTCCCCAGCGCAGAGGCATCCTCTGTTAAAGCAGCGCGGCTGCCTGGCTGGACCACCTCCCTGAAGTTACCCCTCCAGGCTGGCACTCACGCTGGAAACCCTGTCGGCCCCACCCTGCAGCGCCGGCCAAGGCCACATCCTGCTGGCCACGGCTCCAGACCTGGGAACAAGTCAGTCCCCGCTAGCCGACCAGGCTGGACAGCTGGCCACAGCCCCGGAGCCCATGGGCAGGGGGCCACAGGCCCCGGGCACCCCAAATGCTTGTCTCAGAGCTGCCGAGTCAGCCCTGATGTGGCGGCTACGCACCACCCACCCTGTTCCCATCTCAAGCTGGAGCCAGCCCCCACCCCAAGCACAGAGCACAGCAGCACAGCGGGAGGCCAACAACTGTATTTCCAGGTCAGCCCGGGCTCTCGGCCGCCCAAGGGGAGGACAGCAGGGGTGAGCTGCAGAGGAAGGCAGGCGCCAGCCCCGTGTCCCAGCCTGACCTCCAGGCCACCGAATGGCCCTGGGATGGGCTGAGTCCCAGAACCACCTTGTAGCCACCACAAGGTGGGCTGTCCCCCTCACTCCTTCCAGCTCATCCTAGGCCTCCACTGGCCTCACCCTCAACGGGCCAGAAAACATTAGACAGGTAAGAGTGGCAGAGCCCGGCTGGGCCCAAGCTGGGCAGAGGGACCCTTGTGCAGGGCAGGTTTCCAAGGGAGGGTCGAGGAGGACGGCCTGGTTCGGGGTGGGGGCTCAGCCCAGCGGCCTCGGGTAGGGCTGAGGAGGGGACTCCCTGGAGATGAAGGGAGCCCCAGGATGTACACGCTCAGCTGCCAACTTGGCCGAGCTCTTCCAGGTGCGTGAAACAGATCTGTGCTTCGGAGGAGCTCTACCCCTCCGGACAGACGGACAGACAGGCAGTGTTTCTGAACCCAGGGAGGGGAAGCCACAGAACAAACCAGATCGGGCTTGGGCCACCAGTCTCCAGGACGCCCAGGCAACGGGCGGGCGAGTGTGTGGGTGATAATGTGGGGGGGCTGGGGGCCTCATCCCCCGGGGCCCTCCTCTGTCTCTGTGCTTGCGGGTGGACGGCTCGGGGGCTAGACGCGGGCGGCCTGGGCGAAGCCCACCCTGTTGTTGTCTCGGTCAAATACAGTGTAGTAGCGGCCGATGAAGACGTCGCCCAGGATCCAGAGTGGCCCGCTGGGTGGAGGGATGTCCATGCCCATGAAGCCGCTCAGGCAGATGGTCTTCCCGGCCTGCGACACCTGGGATGGGGCCGGTGGTCAGCACCCAGGCCTGGCACCACCCGCGACCCGCCCTGAGCATCCAGGCCACGGGCACCCCTGCCTGTTGCCCACTCACCTGGAGTGTGCCCCCACAACTGCCCACTCACCTGAAGCATGCACCCCCACCCTGCCCACTCACCTGGGGTGTCTCCCCTCCCCCCACCACCCGCTCACCTGGGGTGTGCCTTCCCCCACCACCTGCTCAACTGGGGTGTCTCCCCGCTCCCGCCCACTCACCTGGGGTGTGCCTTCCACCCCACCGTAGGCTCACCTGGGGTGTGCCTTCCCCCACTCTGCCAGCTCACCTGGGGCACGCCTTCCCCCCTCTGCCCGCTCACCTGGGGCACGCGGCCCCCATGGCCTGCCCACCTTGAGTGTGTAGTCCTCCGGGGACAGCTTGTAGTCTTTGCCTCCCAGCTTCAGCGTGATCGTGGGCAGGGTGGACACCTTCTCACAGGGGATCATGTACTGAGAGGGGCCAAGCAGTGTCAGGGTGTCAGGGTGGCAGTGGTGGCCGTGGGGCTCCACCCCACCAGCCCCAGCCCCAGTGCTCACCTCGCCCTGGATCAGTGGCACGGCCCCAATGGCCTTCTGCAGCTCACGCACCTCGTCCACGGGGCCCACCATGAGGGACGTGCCTGTGTCCACAATGGCCTCACAGCCCCCCTTGCACAGGGTCAGCCCGCTGGCTACCTCCACCCTGCGGGGAGTCAAGGCGTGAGGCCCATGCCCAATGACAATGTGCATGGGGGGCCACTGCCCCTCCCCGGGAGCCCTTCCCTGGCACTCTCCACCTCTCTGGGCTGCTGGATGCACAGGGGGCTGTGGGCCCTCCAAGGACCCTCAGGTGGTGGTGAGGGCATGGAAGGGATGGAGGGGATGGAGGGAGGGAGAGAGGGGATGGAGGCATAGAGGGAGGAAGGGATGGAGGGATGGATGGAGGCATAAAGGGATAGAGGGATAGAGGGATGGAGGGATGGAGAGGCATGGAGGATCACAGAGAAACGGAGGAATGGAAGGGATGGAGGCGCATGGAGGTCATGGAGGGACGAAGGGACAGAGGAATGGAGGGAAGGAGGGACGGAGGGTGTGGAGAGATGGAGGGGGTGGAGGGATAGAGCGGATAGAAGAGATGGAGATAGAGGGATGGAGGAGCATGGAGGGTCACAGCGCAACTGAGGAATGGAGGAGTATGGAAGGGATGGAGGTCATGGAGGGACGGAGGGTCATGTTTTCACAGGAGGGAAGCTCCAGTGGCCAAGGGTCATGGAGCCACAGAGGGATGGAAGGCATGAAGAGTCATGGAGGGGGTGGAGGGATGGAGGGGATGGAGGGATGGAGGGATGGAGGGACGGGGGGG